GCCCTCAACAGGGTATGGCAAAATTCAGAACAATTCCCACTTTTCCTAAAGTAGCCTGTCAGAACCTCCAAATGACCTCAAATTTTAATTGATTTTATCAGAAATGACTAGAGTAGTTCCTGAGGGAAGTTTCCTCACTTTGTTAGGAGGCTTACTGGGGAAGATCTCAAAGAGCTGTCAATGACCAAAATCATGGCCATAAGTACATGAGGTCAGTAGAGGCAAGCAACAACCTGGGCATGGACTGTAAGGTTCCATAGCAGCGAGGAAAGAGCTGCAGGAGCTAGGGGCCTAGTACACATTGCTCTGAGCTCTGGGAGGATGCCAACTGCCATGGTACCCCTGCTAGCTACTTCCTGATCCTTTCTGATTCTGATACACTGTTCTCTCCTTACTGAGGGCCCTCCTTTAATTGTTTTAAATTCAAAACAGCTGACTCCACCCTGTCCCTCAGAAGGAACTTCTTCTTTTTTTTTTTTTTTGTTTTTTTGTTTTTTCTCCGGTACCTGGAACCGAACTCACAACCTTGCGCTTGCCAGGCAGGCGCTTTTGCCACTGAGCTAAATCCCCAGCCCCAGAAGGAACTTCTTAACTGTTATCTTCTAGCTACTGCCTGCCAGGCGGCCTCCTTGGTGTAGTCTTCTCTGACTGTAGTCTGAGCTGCGGTTTCCTTTTCAATGTGCCTGATAGGTCTGCTGCTAATACTCCACAACACTACCCTGGCTGCTGGGAGTCATGGGGGAGATGAAGGTGCTCTGTACACTGAAGACAGTTGACTAATGTTCTTTACATATGGTAAAGAGAACTCCGGCAGAGCTGGAACTTTTCCATCCAGATACTCCAAGGGCTTTTTGGTGTGGTGTCATTGCTAAGCACTTCACTGTGGAAAAGAAAAAAAAAAAACATATAAGGAAGAGAGAAAAAACACACATGGAGGACAAAAGTGACTCACTACTTCTCCTTAGAGTTTCTACTCAGTAATGACAGAAGTCCATGCAGTAGGCCTAGAAGATTCGATCTCAAGTCTTAACTACTATATGAGTTCTGCTTGCAGCCTTAAGAAATGGCAACAGCATCTTATAGGAGGTCTCCCTCTGGATCAGTCTGCACTTGGCTCCTGCTCAAAAATCCATTTTGGAAAAATCAAGTGTTCTTTCCTCTTCTTTCAGCCCAAAGTTCAAAACCACTGTTGTACAAGAAAGATGCAGAGATTCTAGAACTAAGAATCAAACAATAGGTCCTGTATGTCAAGCTACTCTTGACAGTCTGATGATGGAAGTGCTGTGTCATTTAGGGATCAATTACATCTGTTTGTCTAACTATTACATATTAACCATAGGACCAGATAACATTTGTACGATCTGCAGAAGTGAGCTAAACATTCACAGGGGAGCAAGACCTTCTAGAAGTTGCTTTCTTCTGTGTGTTTCAGATTTCTGCTCCCAAAATGAACACCAAGGTGACCTGAGTTCAGTTCCCCCACACTGGACACTGGGACAATGATCAATGTCCTAGTGACTGAGGGGAATTCTGGGAGAAAGTCAGCTGTGCCTGCATGTTAATTGTTGATTCCAAGTTTGTTCCACACAGTTCAGTAGTATGCTCTTGTCCTTCCAGCTGGTGGAGAGGCTGAAGTGAGAGGGTTGCAAGTTCGAGCCCAGGTGGTGCATCTCAGCATGACCTTGTTTCCAAAAAATTAAAAGGGCTGAAGCTGCAGCTCAGTGGTCAAGTGTTTGTATAGAATATGTGAGGACCTAGGTTCAAAACCAATTATTGAAAAAAAAGTCAGTCCAGACTGAAGGCAAAGCAGCTCTGCTAAAGGACCTTGTTCCAACAACCTATTGTCCCTGGGCTTCTCTGATGGGACAGTAATCTCTGCACATCCAGCAATCAGCAAAACAGGGCAAGGCAATTTCAAGAGCGCTTGGTCCTCCAAGAGAATCTTATGTGCAGGCCCTTCATGGTAACAAGACAGGCCGGACCAGGAAAACAGGCAAGTGGTAACAGAAATATAAAGGATTGCGGTGTCTTAACAGAAAGCATTTTCCCCCACACTAACTTCAGTCCTGAAGATTCATCACCCCCATATGCCCTCGGCAGTCCCCTAACCAGAATTCACGACTCTGTTACCTTTTCGTGCCTGTGATGGAGAGGAAGCTCTAGGGGTTCCATGTGACTCTCAGTGTACTTAATGATTTTTCTTAAAGTACTTTAGACTGGGAGTGTACTCTAATTCTTATATGGTTCTATTTCTCCCTCTGATTATACCCACATGATTCTGCTTTACAGATCAATAAGTTAATGTGACTGTGTTTGGTCACACATAATTGTCACTGGAAAGCCATTGGGCTGAACATTTCCAGTGCTTGTGTTGCCAAGGTGAACAGTAAAAGGATACTCCATAGTTTTTCAATCAGAAGCCACCAAGTAACTTGTAGGAACTTCCACTCTGCCAAGTATATTTTCTTTGGTTGGTTTCTGCACGTCTTGTGAACGTCTGTCTTTCTTCTCTTCCTCCCCCTTGTGCTCCTCTTTTCCATCCCCTCCTTTCCCACCTGGAGCACTGAATTGCCTGGTTTCTGGTGCTGTCTGCTTCCTGAATTGCAGTCTACTCCAGTGAGCTCTATAGAATGTTCATGTACATGAGTTTGTCACTTAACAGTTCCAGTGTTGACAGTACTGGATCAGATCTTCTCAGTCTGGTCTTTCTTGGTCTTCAGATTTAATTTTCACTTATATCTGGCTCTGCAGAGCTGAACTACAGTTTTCAACAGCCTATGAATACATCATCCAACACTCATAGCAGTTCTTCATGGTGGCCTGTGTCTTAGTTTTTTCTTTGTTTTTTTTGTTTGTTTGTTTGTAACCGAGAATTGAACTCTGGACCTTGTACTTGCCAGGCAAAGCACTTTGTCACTGAGGTATATGCCTGGCCCTTAGTTTTCTTTTTGATTTCCTTCTTCACTGACCACTAAAGAGCAAACACTTCATAAGAACAGCTTAAGGCCAGGCATGGTGGTGCACACTTGTAATTCCAGCACTTGGGAGGCTGAGGCAAGAGTATCCTTGCATGTTCGAGACCAGCCTGGGCTACAAAGTGAGCTCAAGGCCAGCCTGAACTGCATAGCGATACCCTGTCTCAAAAAGGGGTGCGGGAATAAAAAAGAACAGATTATAACTTTAGTACTTCTCAAGCTCTTTCATGTTCAAGGTTGTCTTTGTATTTGTGTCTCCATTTCAATTCAAATAATTGTAAAAATAGTACTTGAGCACTGGACTTTGCTGCAGTGCTTTGTAGACACTGCTCGTTTACCTCATTTTAGATATTTCTGTGGAGCATTCTGTTGCCTACCTGATATTTTCCTCATCGTGAAGAATGTTCTTTCTCTAGCATATGTTTCAGTAATTCTTTTTAATTTTAAATTTCAAAAATTAACAAGAATACAGTTCAGTGTCAAGCATGTACAATCAAACTTGCCATAATCATCTCACCTTCTTTTCTTGCTGTTTCATTTCTGGAAAATAATAGATGACAGATAGATAGATATAGATATAGATGTAGATTTAGATAGATAGAGATAGAGACAGAAATAGAGACAGAGATAGAGACAGAGACAGAGACAGAGATAGAGATAGATGTATCCTTTATGTATTTTGTGTTACACCTTTTGAATTTTCTTCTCTGGAAGCAACAACTGCATTGTCTTTTAATTGTTTATTCTAGATGTTTCCCCAAGGGCTTTGTGGGAAGTGATGGCATCATAAGTGTCTCATGTTCAGCAGTGCATTAGTCCCCTGATGAGGTCATAGCCGAGTGTGACGCGCGGAGGTGAAGCCAGGTTGGAGCAGGTGGTCCACTGGGAGCCGGGCTGGGAAAGGTCCATCTCCCTCATTCCTTCCTGGATCTCTCTCCCTCTCTCTGCTTCCAGTCACCATGCCATGAGCTCTCTGTCCTCTGCCAGGCCCCCCTGCCATGCTGCCCTGTCTTGGAGCCAGCTGACTACGGACTGAAATCTCTACAAACTCTGACCCAATGTAAACCTTCCTTCCTTTAATTTGTGGGTATTGTGTATTGTGTCTCAGTGGTGGAAAAATATGACAGTCTTCTTTCCATTTTTATTAGTTTCCGGTTAACTTTTGGAATGGCTACGCTTTCATAATGTCTTACTATGAATATATATTTTCTTAAAATTACTGTGGTATTACGTATATCTATGCAGTTCTTTCTTTATCATTAATCATGTATTACCTCTGGTGTGTATAAATCATTGTCTATGTTGCCAAATAATTCTTTGCATAACCAGATTATTTCTTCACTTTATTCTTTAATTTTTTGTTTATAAATCCATTTTACATGCCCTATCCTGCCATGTTCCTCAGAAGAACTTCTTTCAATTCATTTCTATTCATTGTTCTTCTTGCACTGGTTGTGTTTTTTGGTATTTAAGTTTTACATGTTACATCTTTTCTTTTAATCCCAGTGTCATACTATATTTTCATAGGTTTTAGCATCGTATTCCTGTATTTAGAGCTGTCTTCACTCAGTTTTCTTTAAGACCATTTCTTCCGTGTTCTGTCCCTGTATTCCCAGCTATAGCTGCTTTCCCATCTAAGTGAAGCCAGGTGTTACCACTACATACTGCCCTTAGCTGTGTCTGCTAAATACATTGGTAGTACCCAGGGGCATGGAACATGCTTCAGTCCTCCTTCCCACTGCCATAGCAAACATCTGGATGGTGACATCAGCGATGCCTTGTAGGGGCTCCCAAACTCCCAGGCTTACACCCTTCAGGGTACCTTCCATCTCCCATCATTTTACTTCCCATGTCCTTGCCAGGAAACTCAATTGTTTACTTTACCATTGTGTGAACTTTGCCTATTCTTGCTGGTAACATGTTCTTCAAAATTAGTGGTCTGTAAAACTACCCTTTCATTTTTGAGAAAAAATCTTACATATTTTTTGAAACTGTCTTCCCTAACATTTTTAAAATTTATGCCAGGAAGAAGAGATCCTCTGAGACGTCTGAATTAATACTGACAATCAGCAACTTTCAGCTTGCCAAAACAGGTACAAGTTGCCTTCCTGAGGGTTTTCAGTGGGCTCCCTGAGGGTGCTCGCTCTGCTTTCTGCAAATCTCCTGTGTGGATGATCAAACTAAAATGAAGCCTGTTCCTGCACAGAGATGTTCCCGATCCGAGTGGGAAGCAAATGGTATTTCCACTCACGTCTTTCTGTGGTAGCTACTTTCCAAAGGGCCTTCCTGTTGCATCCCATTTTAGGAGTACAACATATTTTCAATTTGTACACAGAATACCATTATTTGCCTACAACACGTTGCTAGTGTTGAGGTTCCTAACAGAAACTGATTTCAATCCAAGGGACCTGAAATTATTAAATTCCATCTCAATATTTTATCGTCAACAAAAGATGTACCAAAGCCACCAGAGTAAGGAAGAGTGGGATAGAACAATGAAGGTTCAAGTAAGAAAGAACAAAACTTGAAAACAAATTATAGAATTTAAAAAGAATGGCAGGGATTGATGTCACAAACGACAAATGCCCATTGTGCATGTCACCCTATTCTTCCACATCAGCATTGTTTTCTATTCCAGGTATGTCCTGCACAGATTCTGGTAAGGAATCAAGAAAGCACTAGGTAAATCTGACCACATCCAATTCAGTCTTTCTGAGCCTAAGTGCCAGAGGTTTAGAGCTTGTGCAAGTACAAAAATGTCCTGCTGCCATTAAGGAAGAGAAGAAATGCTAGCTTAATGGGAAATGATATGAACAATATAAACATAGGTAGTTCATCCTGACCACACATTTCCTACATCCTTAAAGTTTTAGTGATTTTCTTTTTTTGGTGCTGGGATTTGGAGTCAGACTATCACATCTGTTAAGCACACAGTCTAACAACAAATTTCACCCAAGCCCAGTACAGTAATTGTTGAAGAAATAAACAAATGAATGAATGAAGGAATGAATGAATGGGTGAATGTATATTAATTTTTGAATGGAGAAGTTGATATAAATTTTGGTGAATAGCTAAATTTACTGAATCAGTTGCCATAAATGCCTTCTACTCTATTAGATAATTACCTGTTTAAATAAGGAAGTGGTTAAGAAGCTTATTTTAGTGGATATCAGTTGGAATATACTTTTCTTTCATCACAAGAAATCCATATCTAAATTCATGATTTGCCTCAGTCCAAACTGGATTTCCAATATCTAAATATTTAGATATTGGAAACATGAAAGCAATTAGAAAGTTCTTATAAATTTATGCTAAGGTCACCGAGAGTATTTAATGAAGTTAGGAACATAAATCAATTCATATATTTTATTTCAGATGTTTACAATAAACATTGTATTTATGTATTTAAAATGAATTCTAGATATAATAATCCTCCTCCTGAAAGCCCAAAGTCACATTTAATGATATTTCCTTTTTGGTTTGTTCCCCTTGCCGCAGGAAACCATGGATATTGGAGAATATTTGGAAAGAATTGGTTATAAGAATTTTAAGAGCAAATTGGACTTGGAAACCTTAACTGATGTATTTCAGCACCACATCAGAGCTGTTCCCGTTGAGAACCTTGACATGCACTGTGGAGAGTCCATGGAGTTGGATTTAGAGACTCTTTTTGATCAAATTGTGAGAAAGAACCGGGGTGGCTGGTGCCTCCAGGTCAATCATGTTCTGTACTGGGCTCTGACCACAATGGGGTTTCAGACCACAATGTTGGGAGGATATGTTCACATCTCTTCAGTTGATAATTATAGCAGTAATATGGTTCACCTTGTAGTACAGGTGACCATCAGTGGCAGAAACTACATTGTTGACGCTGGGTTTGGACGCTCCTACCAGTTCTGGGAGCCTCTGGAATTAATTTCTGGGAAGGATCAACCTCAAGTGCCTGCCATTTTCCACTTGACAGAACAAAATGAAACCTGGTATCTGGACCACATCAGAAGAGAACAATACATTTCAAACCCAGAATTTCTTGATTCTGATCTTCTGGAAATGAAGAAATATCGGAAAATCTATTCTTTTACTCTGGAACCTCGAACAATTGAAGATTTTGAGTCAATAAATACTTACCTTCAGACATCCCCAACATCAGTGTTCAAAACCAAGTCAGTGTGTTCCATACAGACTCCAGAAGGGTTTTACTGTTTAGTGGGCTGGACTCTCACCTATACGAGATTCAGTTATAAGGACAACATAGATCTTGTAGAGTTTAAAACACTGCAGGACGAAGAAATAGATGAAGTACTGAGAACAGTATTTGGTATTTCATTACAGAAAAAACTTGTGCCCAAATATGGTGGTCTAAAATATTCTATCTAGATAAGCAACAGAAATGTTCCTCAATGTGCTATAGATAATTAAACACTTTAGCATGGAAATCTCAAACATTTTAACAGTTACATTTCTATAGCAAAGTATGGTTAAAGGAACAAAAGCAATTATATAGGACATTCAGATCACTGATCATTAACTGATGATTTATTGCATCCCCTCCACCCTTTCAACATAAGACCATTTCACCCATAAAAAATGTCAGCAGACAAAACTAAATGACTTTTTAAAGAAATATAACCACCCACCTTTGCAAACTTAATCATACTTGTGATTTAGTGGTGATGTGGTTATCTTGTGAACCATAATGATTCATGCTGGAAAGCTTTCTGGTATTGATTTATTTCTAAATTCACAGCCAATTTGTACTGGTAGTTAAGGGTGTAGTAAGACTATTGCTTCCACTAAACTCCACTAGTGTGTATCTAATGTCTAATTTCTAGAAAGTACTACCTGTAAAACTGACGATTTAAATACAACAAAGATTGAAACACAGTAATCTAATGGTCCTCAAGACAGCTCTCAAGCCGGGAGGATATGTTCACATCTCTTCAGTTGATAATTATAGCAGCTCTAATACAATGTGATTAGGCGTTAAGAGAATGACAAAGAAAATAATTTATTCTAGGATCCTTTTTTAACAGTTACATTTCTTTATATACCGTTCTTCTAAATGTGGGAGCAATGATATTTATAATTTTTGGCTTGTAAATTGATGTGATTTATGTGTAAAATAATGATAATCATAAATGTGAAATTCATATCATGGAGAATGTTTATGTTCTCAAAAGTGTATTAAAACATTCCTAGCTAATATAATGTGTATCAACAATTTTGTTGGATATACTATAGAGATATATGTTTTCTGCATGGAAATCTTTCACACGATTTCTTATTTATCAGTTATATTCACTTACTTCCTTCCATATTTTGTCATAGAGAAAAAACACATAGGTTCTTTTTATACTCAGCTTCCAAATCCTGGGGAACAGTGAATTATTTATGAATCTATGGACATAATTCCTCACAGGTGTAATGAGTACTATACATAAACAACAGAGCATCAAACCTAGAGTAGCACTAAGTAAATATTTGTCATATAGATGCGTGAATAATATCAGTAACTAAGTGAGGTTTGGGGGAGTAGGTGGCCATTTCACGGAATTCTTCCATCTTGTTTTATTGCCTTCTACAGTTGTTCTTCCTATCTTTCACTGTTCCCCTCTAGCTTGAAAATCCCTGTCCCACTGTCACCTGCCTGGTTTATCCTTGACAGAATGACAAGATATGAGTTGCCCAATATCTAAAAGCATAGCTTATGCTTCAGAATCAGACTCTTTATATTTCTAAAACTTACGTTTTCTGACTGTGGATTCCAGTATGAGGACTATAGTGTAGCATAGATCTACTAATAAGTTGTTCTCCCTCTTCAGCTTGTGGTCATAGTAATAAGGTGATACGAGATACTGGAGCTGGAAGGAAGGGTTGTTCTTTAGGAGAATGGGTTATGTTGTAGCTTGTGCATTTTATGTAGTCAAGTAACAGGCAGGGGAAAATGGCGATAGAGGCTGTCTTACAGAGGAGTGGACATAAAACCTGGCCTGAATGGGAAAGACAGATGAAAACGTGTACCAGTATATGACAGTTTACTGCTTTCCTTACCTTACTGGATTAACTTTGTTTAGTTCTGTTTCAGGTTTTGGCAGTGTGAGGTGGTTTCTTGTATACCAGAAGACAGATTATTTTCTCACATTCTAACCAAGACCATGTCAATAACAAGAAACAGAAGAAATCATAGAATGGGAAAATGAAACATCCTATAACAAAGACTCAAGAAAAATACATCATATGATGAGTATCCTAAACCCAGTGAAATTGCTCTTTCTTAATTATATATATGACACAAGAGAAAAAAACAAAGTATTTTGAAAGAGAAGCAAAGGTGTAAAATTAGGTTTCAGATTTAAGAGTTGAACCCTGACTATAAGGTTCACTTTTATCAGATGAGACCTAAATGAATAAAGAAGATGAATCTCATGAATCTGTCTCACCAAAGAATTTTTAAGGTGCCACTCATTCTTTGTGTTTATTCAATATGATTTCTACTTTTCATGGATCACTGGGGATTAGGATGTACCATTTCCATTCAGGACTTCAGAACCAGTAGCACAGAAGCCAGAACTTTCAGGTGTTTCTGGAAAAGGTGGGATAGCAAAAGTGTATAGTTCAGTTTTTTCTGTTTTCAAGGTAAAGCTGAATATAGATGTGTATTTCCAATCCTGTCTACACTAAACCAGAAAGAGGAATTGTGAGAAATGCCTAGCCTCACAGCTGGGTGGAACCGCTGATCTTTGGTACAATGTTTCTGGAAGTGGACTCATTTTATATTTATATGTTTGTTTTCTGTGGTCTAAGGCCATTGAAGAATGCAAAACCTCATGCAGCCAAAGCTGTTCTAGGAACAAATTCTATAGCAAATTCATAGAAAAATGATCTAAAATGAACAATGTAATATTACACCACTTGGTATTGGAAAAACAAGGACTAAGTCCAAAGTTAACAGAATGGAGAAAATAACAATGACCAGCATTGAAACAAGTTAAATAAACACTACTTAAACCATAGAAAAGATAAATGACACTGAAGGGTTTTTAAAGTTAAACAAAATCGATGCATTCTCAAGAAGACTAGAAAATAAGAAAGAAGTCTGAAAAAATCATCACTGAAAGTAGAGACACTACAACTGATAATGTATAAATACAACGAATCACAAGATACTATTATGTTACAAGTTAGTTAACCTAGAAAAGAAAAAATGGATAAACTTATAGAAAAATTTAATTAACTAAAACTGAGTCATGAACATAGGATATCATAGTAGACCAATAATGAGTAAAGATACTAAATCACTAATTAATGGTCTCAATCAAAGATAAGCCTAGAACCAAATGGGTTGATGGCTGAATTTTCAGTTATTTAAAGAACAAATAATACCAATCCATCTCAAATGCTTCCAAAGTGTTGAGGAGGAAAGAACACTCATCACCTCATGTTCAGGGTAAATATAACACCTCAGTACTAATGTTATAATGGAGAACAGTCCCCAGTGTCCACAATTTAGATGTTTAATTAGGCTTATGGCTTTAGGGGTGTTAGTCACAGTGATTGACTCCAAGATGGAAACATCATGGAGGAGGATGAAAGGTGAATAAAGATGCATTCTTCCGTGTGGCTAGGAAGCTGAGCAGAACAGTTCCAGAGACGAAGGGTTGAGGGAGGAGGTGTAGATTCCAAGGTCTACACAGATACACCCAGAAGTGTGCTTTCCTAATCCCCTAGGTAGCTCTTCATTAAGTCAAGCTGGCATAGCACAATTAATAATCAGAGCACATTGAAAGATCACCCAACATTACCAAGTGGGATTTTTTTCCTCAGGATGCAAGCATAGTTCAACATATGCAAATCAGCTAAGATGATTTTGACAAAATTCAGCATTTGTATTTCCTGATAAAATCTCTAAGTATTTTTGGTAAACAGAATGTTCCTCAACTTAAGAAAACCCATACCTAGCAAACTCACAGTGACTATAGTTAATAATGTATATTTCAAAAGACCAGAAGAAAGAGATTTAAAGTGTTCTCATCAGGAGCAAATGATAAATAAGGTGACGGATATACTGATTAGCTTGACTTGATAATTTCCCAATGCCCACCTGTAATGAAGTAACATATTTTATAACAGAAAGATACATGATTTTTGTCAATTCAGAAGAAAACTTTAAAATTCTAGGTGAATGAGCTCAAAGGATTAATGATTATGAATACAGTTACTACTACTTACAAATTACCTTAACAAACTACCCTCAAAATTAGTAGTATGAAGACCATTTTTTAAAATTCATATATTCTTTGAGTTTGGAATTTAGAAGCACAAAGTAGGACAGCTCTTGCCTTCTCTGCAGTGTACAGTCATAGCAAAGAGGACTCCTGCTCCTGGCAGTTATTTGATGGCTCTGATCTAGAATCATCTAAAAGCACCTTTACCAGCATGAGTGGAACTGGAATGGTGCTAACAAGGGGGACCCTACACATAACCTCCATGGTGGCCTCCGGTGAGCATGGTGGCCTCTGGGTAGTCATATTTTCTTACAAGGTAAGTCTGGATTCTATATCTGAGGCTTTCAGCTTCTAAGATGGAAGCTGAATGTTTTTATTTGTTCTACTTAATGTGATAAAATTTGCATTACACAAAACTATCTAAAGTGCAATCTATTGTCTTTTAGAACATTCCCAAGGTTATGTAACCAACACTGTTATCTAGTTTCAAATATTTTACTTACCCCAATAAGCCCATGTAATCACCCATTCCATTTAGGAATTTTAGATTACTTTTTATGACCTAGCATGAAAGTTTGTAGCATCTTTTGAGCCACTTTCTGTTGTCTATAAACAAATGGTAAGCCCTTCCAAAGTCTTAAGGTGGAAATAGAAGGTTCTAGATTATCTTAGAAGTAATGTGTTTTTATAGTCATCTTCGGAACAACCTCAACAGTTAATTTCCTACATCGAAAAATTTATATTTCTTACCTATGCAAAATATATCTTCCCCAGACTGAACTGTTCTACAAAAGAGCAGTATCCAAGCACCAAGTCCAGTCAACTTGTGATCCAGTCCAGAAGCAAACAAGGTTTCTCTGATGCAGAAGATGACCACCATGGATACTTCCAAGCAAAGCAGCTGAATAATGGTCACCAAACCGTAATCAATCACCACTCCGTAACTGTTCTGAACTCCAGCTGAGCCCATGTGACCAATTCATTTTTTACAGCTCAGTCATATTTCCTGGGAATTGTTTCCATGACTCTTGCCTCAATTCTCTGTGTTTCTGGTTCTCCATATGTTCATAGTGAGTGCAACTAATAACAAAACCTATTGTTTAATGAGGAGCTTACAGTTCCTCTAATGATACTCCTCTAGGATGAGGGCAACTCTAGCTATAGGTCTCCTAAAAGACACCAAGATACGCTGGACAGAGAAGTACAAATATGCAAACCTATTAATATAATGAGGCAGTGTTTTTCAGATGTTCTGTCCTGAGTTTGGTACCCTGTAATCAGAAGCAGCTTTAGCTTGTGGCTACAACAATAAGGTTAAGTGAGAAAGGGGGGCTACAATGGAAGAATGTTAGCTAAGAAGAAAGATTACTTGGGGGAAGGAGAGTTAACTGTACCACAACAGCACTCAGAGGCGATTGCACAGGTAGTTCATTTCAGACGTGACACCAGTAAGCAAGAAAGGGTGTAGACAGGGAAAGCGAGACAGCAAATCACAAAAATTAACATGAAAGTTCATTAAGTTTGCTGCTGTTGGCAAATGCCTCCATGACACTAGAACTTACAAAGGAGCATCAGTGAATGACTTCCGGAATTGTCTGCCCAAAGAAGAAGGGGAGAAGCATTTGCCCATTGGTTCCATTTACCCATTGCCTGTCTCAAAAAGGTGGTTTCACATTATATGGTTTCTCCAAAGAGGTGGAAAGACTCACACTGACAGACCCCTTCCTTTCTCAGCTTCTGAAAGTGAATACAAAAGACTGTTATGCCCAGGTGAGACAGATTTTATTTCAGTTTTTTTTTTTTTTCTTTCTATAATGATCTGGAGAAAAGCAACATTGAAAACTAAGTAAGTCTCACTGAGACATTGGCCTAGGCTGCCTCTCAGCAGCAACACCACTGGGTTGGTGTCACTACTAAGAAAGTGATGGAGAGAAGGTTGTTGGCCTGGGTTCCTTGATTCCCAAAGAGAGGCGAGGACGGGAGTATCTAATAGGGC